CCTTCCGGGGTGCGGGCTGGGTGCCGGGTGGCGGCAGGTGGGGCTGTCTGTCCGAGCTCTGCCGGCGCTGCCTCCGCCGGGGCTCCTGCGGCCCCCCGCCGCCGAGGGGGTGGCGGACCCCCTGCAATCCCCCTCCGAGGAGACTGTTTTAGCTCATCTGGCCCCATTCCGAGGATGAAATAAGTTATTTCCGTGTGTTTCAAAAAGCATTAACCAGCTTTAACAGCTTTCAGAAAGCATTACATAAGGCAATGCTTCAAATTGCACTCGGCGCAGCCGGTATCTGGGCCGTTCTGCTGAGAGTAACGGGGCTACTGCTTACGGCCCGGCACTCCTGACTGCTGTGTGTTTCGTGTCGCAGCCGCGTGCCCCAGGGAACGATGTCCTGATCTACGTGTGGTGTTTGATTTGGGAATGCTGACTCAAAACACGCCCTTTTTTTATGAGCTTGGGAATTGCCCAAATGGAGTAAATCCAGCGGTCCATCTAAGCTGGCAGCCAGTCTTCTAAAGCATCCAGCAGAAATCTTTTGAGGTTTGCAATAAGCCGCTCAGCTGCACTTAGTGTGGTCCCCCAGGGAAAATGAGTGTGGCAGTTGTTTCTCTTTTCTTGTCCTGAGGATATTGATAGCTTCAAATCTTATGCGTCACTAGCAGAATAACTCCCTCTTTAGTTCTCTTTCCATCCCCTGAATGAGACCCGGGGTCAGAATCTCCTGCTTTTCTTTCTGCCTCACTTTAAACAGAGGAGCCTCGCGCCTGATGCCCTTTGTCCGTCCCTTCCAGCCCGCCCGAGTCACCTTCATCCTAGCTGCTGTCTGCCTTCATCCCTTCTGTGTTTGGATGCTACAGAGAAGCGGGTCGAGCGTGTTGGTAGGCGGAGGCGCTTCCCCTGGGGGATGCTGGTGTCTCTCCATCAGCTTGACCCTTTCTTCCAGGGCGGTGGGAAGTCCTAGGGATTTTCAGTGTCCCCTCTCCACCCCACCTGAGAACGCTCTCCCACCCCTCACCTTGTCGTATGCACCTGTTACACCATAAAAGCTGCAAAAAATCCTGATGTTCTCCTCGTTTGGTTTGACACGCTTTACTTTTTCTGGTGGTTGGAGTACCCGGGGGGCCCGAGGCGAGGGGATGACGGGGTGGGATTGCCCCGGCGTGTCGCCACGGCCCAGCAGATTGCAAGGCAGCTGCTGAAGACGAGGGCTGAGCCTTGCAGTGGTGATACTACGTAGCTATGGTGACAAAACCCGAATGCTTTATTTAGTTCATGATTTTCCTCCAGAACATCTACGTTTCCTGGTAGGTGCCTGCTGCTTCTGCAGCAGGTTGAAACTGAATCAAAAGCCTGCAGATCAGATATTGTCAATGGCTGTCTGATGCTTTTATATGAGCAGCACAGACACCCACAGCTCAGCTCTATCTCACTAGAGACTTTGTTTCGCCTTTGCATTGCTTTTAAAAGACTCTTAAAGCACTCTGCAGTGCTGCAAGCGTTTGTTCTGGTTTTATTGTGAGGAAGAATTCAGTACGCTGCAAAGTGCTTGTTTCCTCTCTGGCTATAAGTGCTGTGTTGACCATTGTACCGGTCTGGCTGTGAAGCAAGCGCTAGAATACACTTTTTAAGGCTTTTCCTGTTCTTCTGTTTTTCTGGCTTTTTACTTCTCTTGTTTTTATTTCTTTGTTCCTCTTTCCAGACGAAGCAGAATTCAGAGGACTTAAGGCTCCTGTGGTATTTGACTTGTAAAGAGACTTGCATGACAGTGTATTTCACAGATTAGTTGGGATGCTGCTCTTCTTTTTGTCTCCCTAATCAGGGATGAAGCTTTATTTATACTCTTCCCTGATGGAAAAGAGAAGGGCTAGTAGTGTCCTGGCTTCTGTGTGTGCAGTCAGTGAAGATGTGTCGGAGTGGAAGCATTTATAAATACCCTTAAGGTTCTTCTGTCACCATCTGCACATGACTTATCAACTTGTATGCAGTTTGCTTCTGGACAAGGAAAATGCACAAGGCCAGCTTTTCTTCCTCCTTTTCTAATGCACTTTACTGAAGGAGAAAGCTCTGAGGCTGCAGCCTCTGCACGAAGCATCTGGCTTGATTTCCAGGCGCTGCTGCAGACTTTGTGACCCGGGACAAGTCCGTTAGTTTCTCAGCGTTTTGTTTTCTCACTTCTGTGTAACTGCCGTGACCTTTCACGCCAGGGATGGCAGGAGGATGTGTGTTCTGACAGCAGTGGGATGCTTTAATTCTGCAGAAGCAGGGAGTCCCGGAGCCAACAGGCAGGCAGGCGGTGTCTGTAACCCATCCAGTGGCAAGTCTTCTGCATGTGCTCCATCAAAGGCTCGCGGTTTGCCTGCAGAGGGAGTTTCTGGTCAGAACGCCTGGCTGTGCTTGTGGAGGATGAAGGAGAGGGAAAAAGTCCTGTCTCATTTTACAAATTGGACTTATACTGCTTTATATTGGAAAGGTTGATCTGAGTTGGAGATTGAAGTGAAGTCCAGGTTGAGTTCAGTAACTCTGGCTGTAAGATTTCTTCTGGCCTCTCAAACGCCATACCTAAGGTTGTGCCGTCTGCTAAAAACGGGATGTTCTGCCACACGATAGACTGCTGTGCCTGTTCAGGATTATTGACGTGTGTGGGCTGAGTCTGTAAGGAGCTCAAGACAGGTTCGTGCTCTCCAGTTTCCAGATTGCCACTTGACATGATTTGACAGGGGGTTGAGATCTGCCGCTGTGCTGTGATGGGCACGATAGCCCATGTATGGGCACAGCGAATCCT